AAAAGACTATTTTTAAATGCTGTAGTTTGACACCATTCCAGAAGCATGCACAATTTTGAAGAGTGACATGTTTGTATCTATTTACTCGGTGCAACACCATATTTTATATTTTACAAAAAAATTAGTATTATATTGTGGTTCTGTGCATTAAAATATATTTTTTCCCCAAAAAATGCATTTGGAAAGCCGCAGCACAAATACCGTATGATATAAAAAATGCAAAATCCACCATTTTATTCTCTAGGGCATCTGCTAAAAATACATACAGTTGCAAGAAAAAGTATGTGAACCCCTTGGGATTACGTGGGGTTTTGCATGAATTGGGCATAAAATGTGCTCTGAACGTCATCTAAGTCACAACAATAGAAGAACACAGTCTGCTGAACATAATACTACACAAACATTAGATGTTGCCATGGTTTAATTGCACATAACATGTAAACATTCACAGTGTAAGGAGGAAAAAGTATGTGAGGCCCTAGCTTAATGACGTCTCCCAGAGCTAATTGGAGCCAGGAGTGAGCCAACCTTGACTCCAATCAGTGTGATGATATTGGATGTGTTGCTGACAGCTGTCCTGCCCTTAAAAAACACACACCTGTTTTGGGTTTACTGATTTCAAGAAGCACTGTCTGATGTGAACCATGCCTCGCAGAAAAGAGCTCTCAGAAGACCTACGATCAAGAATTGTTGACTTGCATGACGCTGGAAAGGGTTACAAAAGTATCTCCAAAAGCCTTGATGTTCATGTGTCCACGGTAAGACAGACTGTCTACAAATGGAGAAAGTTTAGCACTGTTGCTACTCTCCCTAGGCGTGGTTGTCCTGTAAAAATGACTGCAAGAGCACAGCGCAGAATGCTGCATGAGGTAAAGAAGAATCCCAGAGTTTCAGCTAAAGACCTACAGAAATCTCTGGCACATGCTAACATTTTTGTTGACACATCTACAATAAGGAAAACATTAAACAAGAATGGAGTACATGGGAGGACACCACGGAGGAAGCCATTGCTGTCCAAAAAGTATATTGCAGCACGTTTGAAGTTTGCAGAAGAGCACCTGGATGTTCCACAGCACTACTGGCAAAATATACTGTGGACAGATGAAACCAAGATTGAGTTGTTTGGGAAGAACACACAACACTATGTGTGGAGAAAAAAGGCACAGCACACCAACATCAAAACCTCATCCCCACTGTAAAACATGGCGGAGGGAGCATCATGGTTTGGGGCTGCTTTGCTGCCTCAGGGCCTGGACGGATTGTGTCATTGATGGGAAAATGAATTCCAGAGTTTATCAAGACATTTTGCAGGAAAACGTACGACCATCTGTCCGCCAACTGAAGCTCCGCAGAGGATGGGTGATGCAACAGGACAATGACCCAAAGCATACAAGTAATTCAACAAAACAATGGCTGCAACAGCACAGAATACGCCTTCTGGAGTGGCCCAGTCAGAGTCCTGACCTCAACCCGATTGAAATGCTGTGGCATGACCTTAAGAGAGCGATTCACACCAGACATCCCAAGAATATTGCTACACTGAAACAGTTTTGTGAAGAGGAGTGGTCCAAAATGACTCCAGATCGTTGTGCAGGTCTGATCTGCAACTACAGGAAACGTTTGGTTGAGGTTATTGCTGCCAAAGGAGGGTCAACCAGTTATTAAGTCCAAAGGTTCACATACTTTTTCCTCCCTGCACTGTGAATGTTTACATGTTATGTGCAATTAAACCATGGCAACATCTAATGTTTTTGTAGTATTATGTTCAGCAGACTGTGTTCTTCTATTGTTGTGACTTAGATGACGTTCAGAGCACATTTTATGCCCAATTCATGCAAAACTCCACGTAATCCCAAAGGGTTCACATACTTTTTCTTGCAACTGTAAAATATTTGGGGGTTTTAAGTATTTTTTTAAGCAAAAATACTGATTTTTACTTGTAAACAAAAAGTGTCAGAAGAAGGCCTAGTCTTAAAGTGGATAATGCCTGAAGATGCGTCTTGGATGTTGGGCCTCTCTAAGTGGCTAAGCTGTGAAAAACACATGTGGTATCACCATACTCAGGAGGAGTAAATGAATGTGTTTTGGGTGTAATTTCAAATATGCCGATGCTGTGTGTAAAAAATAACTTGTATATTTGACGTTTTTGTGGGAAAAAAAAAATTTACTTTCTTCATTTTACAAAGAATTGTAGGAAACAATTACAACTTCAAAACAAACTTACCATGCCTCTTACTAAATACCTTGGAATGTCTATTTTCCAAAAAGGGGTCATTTGGGGGGTATTTTTACTGTCCTGGCTTATTAGGGCCTGAGGCAGTCAGTACATCAGGATTGTTAAATTTATTAATGATTGGTACCATAGCTTGTAGACTCTATAACTTTCACACAGAACAAATAATGTTCACTGATTTGGGTTATTTTTACCAAATAAATGTAGCAGTATACATTTTGGTCAGTTTATGAAGAAAAAGTATTTATTTGCAACTTTTATAACAGAAACTAAGAAAAACGCAATTTTTTTCCCCCCTTTATAGTGCAAAAAAATGTTAAAAATCCAGTGGTGATTAAATACCACCAAAAGAAAGCTCTACTTGTGTGAAAAAAATGATAAAAATGTCATATGGGTACAGTGTTGCATGACTGACTAATTGTCATTCAAAGTGTGAGAGCGCTGAAAGCTGGAAATTGGCCTGGGCAGGAAGGGGGCAAAAGTGTCCAGTATTGAGATGGTTAAAAATTTGGTTATTTAATAAAAAAAAAAAACACCATACTTCCCTGCTCTGCATAATGGTTTTGCCCAGAGCAGCACCGATCTTCTCTTCAGGTCCCCCGTCGTGGCTCCTGGCTCCACCACCTTGACCAAGCAGCTTGCTATGGGAACACTGGTATGAGCTCACTTCCGAGACCTGCTCTATGCATCCATAAGCCCCCGCTCTCTCCTCATTGGTTCACTGGCTGTGATTGACAGCAGTCTCAGCCAATGAGAAAAGAGAGCCAGGACAGCTGAAGCTCTCGTGCACATCGCTGGATAGAGAGGGGACTCAGGTGCGTATTGGGGGGTCTGTGGGGGAAACAGCACACAGATGTGTTTTTTTTTACCTTCATGCATAGAATGCATGAAGGTAAAAACCTTCAGCCTTTACAACCACTTTGAGGTATCTTGTTTTTCTGTTAAGTCAGAATCTGCATAGCAAAAACCCATATGGCAATGCCAGGGCCTGCAGATTAATAATGGGCAAATCCACTTGGGTTTCATTTGCGAGCATGATTGGCAAATGAGGTCAGAAACTGAAAGACTGAAACTTTATTGTGAACCCAATGAAGTTAATGTGAAACCAATCCTGAAAAACAATTCTCTCCATTTTCAAAGCTAATAGGCAAGGGATTTTCAATCAAGGACCATGTCTTGCCAACCTCAGCTGCAGCAGTCGCAATCTTGCCCATTCCATGTACAATGTAGGGTCAACAGCCTACCCACAGTCTAGCACTTCGGAGAGGAGAGAACATCATTGGAGTCTGCTGGAATCTGGAGTCAGGTTAGTAATGCAGCCTTCCTACCCCCTAGGATTAATGAACATTAACACTTGCAGTGAAATGAGACTTTACCGTGAGACATTACAAATGCACAATTCCTGTAAACAACATACTTAGGCGATAGGGAAAACCTGTTCATGAAGTGGTGCACCTGCACAATGTACTACAGGTGGCAATTATAAAGAAAAAAAAAATATTGAAATTGCTGCTAAATGACATTTCCTCACTGCTTTCTTACATTTGTATAAAAAGATTCCCCTAAAAATGTATACCAGAACCTTTTACTTGTAGAGGCTCTGGTATGAATTTTAAGAAGGTACACCACACAAAAAAAAACAAGAAAAAAAAAAGTGGGTTCCCAAAATCCATTGCAGACCCTTATCTGAACATGCAGTCTCGTTGACCAGGAAATAGATGGAAACAAGCATTCAGGAGGGTATTATACCAGGAAGGCCGCTTCTGGCCATGCTACCTGTAATCATGATGTGTAAAGATCCATCAATTTTACACAGCACTTTATATATATATATTGTACATTCACATCAGTCCCTAACCCTCAAGGAGCGGACAATCTAAGGTCCCTAAACTTACATTCATACATAATACACATACTAAGGCCAATTTAGACAGGAGCCAATTAACCTACAAGCATGTCTTTGGGGTGTGGGAGGAGACTGGAGTACCCGGAGGAAACCCACACAGGCACAGGAAGAACATGCAAACTCCAGGCAGGTGGTGCCGTGGTTGGGATTCAAACCAACAACCCTAGTACTGCCAGGCAGAAGTGCTAACCATTAAACCACTGTGCTGCCACCACACACAATAAAGTGAATCCAGCCTTTGCCTTTAACCAGACTTCTGCTTATTAAAATTTTTTTGCACGGGTCACCCATTAAAATCAACATAAGACCTCCATCTTTACTGTTCATATTTTTATACAGTATCATTGTTTGTTATGGTGCACAATAACAACCAATGGCTGTGTGGTCGCTGGCATCCTAGCAACCATTACATTATCAGTTGCTAGGATGCAGGTAGTCGGCCTCTAACATCCTAGCAACCAACAAATGGACCCCCCTTCAAAACGAGTCAGCGTCACTCTGAGAATCTCCCCTTCTGATGGGCACGTGTCTCCTTATCGTGTGGTTCAATTTTGGACTTTACATGCTTGTTTTACTACTATGTTTGGGAGTATATCTCCTAAATGAATAAATCCATTTACTGAGGTAATGCGCAAGGTTGGTGCGCTCTGTCTTTTGTTCTTCACTACAGAGCCAGCGGTTAGTAGGCACCTCCATGACTTCACCCACCTGAACTCACTGCTGTATTTCTTGTTAGGTGAGTACTGGAGACTTTTTCTTTTGTCTCCTAATATTAAGAACAGAATTGAGGCTCCCAAAAACCAAGGTCCACCTCATTCCTTCTATGTACTTTAAATGTTTAAAATTACTGACAGGTATACTTCAAAGGACAATACATTCTAATTTCTTTACCTGCCATTGGTTTCCTGCTTGTCCTGGGACATAAGCAGCCGAGAAATTTCTTATGCCATTCTTCAATGAGGATCCAACTATGTCACTGGCACCAGCTGGTTCACCACTCATGGCCATTTGGTAAGAAGAATAATTGTAGAGGTTGTTGTAATACGGATACAGCGACGGTTGGTACAAGTTGCTGTAATAAGCTGGGTCAACCATAAAGTCAGATGTGCTCTCCATGTGCCCCCTGCTGGGGATAGATGGGATATCCTGAACGTGCATTTTGCTCTCTGCAGAAAAAAAAACATATCATAATAGTTAATAAGGGTTTTAAGGTTACATTCACATGGACATAACACAGCTGTAAAAAAATGTACTGATCATTAGGGCAATGAACAAAAGTAAATGCTTAAATGAGCAGTAAAGAGATCCATTTTAAGGCTTTTTTTTTCGATTTTGTGTTGCAGTTCTGAAAGAAGTGCATGTTTGTGAATAGGTGAAAGTCTCCACTGAAAACAATGCAGCTGTAAATGAGTTACATATCCTTGCTTGGTATTATTTCCACTTTTTTTTTAAACACTTCAAATGCGCTGCACTGTATAAAATAATAATGACAAAGCGGTAACACAAAGCAAAACTATCTGCATTTATCTTATGTGGACATCCTTTGTCCTGCTTGTTTTTAAATGCTTTGTTTTCCAGAAAAATATACTGTCTTGGTACACCAACTTATACTTGGTCTTAACCGCTTGCCTGCTGCCCTATAGTATAAGTACTGCTACAGGGCGGCAGAGCTACACAAAATCACATATATATACATGATTTGCATTTCCAGGTAAGGGACGCGCGCACACCACCCTACATGTGCCGCTATTGGCGGCTATGGATGTCAATCACCGGGATTCCCCTCCGGCACCCAGAGATTGCCTAGTAAACTTGACAGGGTAGGGATCTGTGTGTAAAACAACACAGGTCTCTCCCCTGCCAGCAATGACATGCTGCTGTGTACACAATTAACCCTTTAATCGCCCCAGATGTAACCCCTTTCTGCCCAGTGTCATTAGTACAGTGTCAGTGCTTTTTATTAGCACTGAACACTGTATTAGTGTCACTGGGGATGTCCGTAGTAGTTAGTCAGTTCCCATCCAGTGTCAGAATGCCCACCGCAGTCCCAATATTAGTCGCTGATCGCGTTACCATTACTAGAATAAAAAAAATGTAAATAAAAATTCCAGTATATATATTTGTACACGCTATAACTTTCACGTAATTAATTTACATGTAGTGGGATTTTTTTTTAGCAAAGACATGTAGCAGAATACATTTTGGCATAAATTTATGAAGAAATTTGATTTTTAAAATGGTTTTATTGGACATGTTTAATAGCAAAAAGTCAAAAATATTGTTTGTTTTTTTTCAAAATTGTTGGTCTTTTTTTGTTTATAGCGCAAAAAATAAACGCAGAGGTGATCAAATACCACCGAAAGAAAGCTCTATATGTGGGAAAAGAAGGATGTAAATTTTGTTTATGTACAGCATTGCATATCGCAAAAAATGGCCTGGTCAGGAAAAAGGGTAAATCCTCTGGAGGGCAAGTGGTTAATTACTTCCAGTTTCACTATCTACAAACTAGAGGTAACTATATTTGAACTTGATGCATTACTAGCACTACGTTATAAAAGTGACATTTTTAAGAACTACCTAAATCTGCAGCAGGTATTGGTAAAGCCACTGAAAAGAATGGCAGAGAATTTTTTTTTATCCAACACAGGCCATTTTAAAGGGACATAGTGCCAGAAAATGTGGCCTTAGGAATTTGACTGAAGTCCTGTTAGGGTCCAATACTAATATATATATATATATATATATATATATATATATATATATAAAACTTTCTAACTATGATGCAACTCCAACTAGGTTCCTCAGCAACTTCTATGTACATTACTGTTCTGAATAATAGGCAACAGTGGGTAACCACAGAATTCCTTACAGCAAACAAATATTAATATTTTTTAAGTTTCTGTTTTCAATTGTCTATTACAAATTTACAAATTGATACAAGGTAGGATACAGGACTTGAAATCAATATTGAAAAGAAACCGATAAAATAAAGTTGAGATGTTGTCTAGCAAGCAAATGATAAATAGAGAAGTCCTATGGAAATTAAAACTAGTGAGCCCTCTAGTGGAAATATAAAGAAGGACATGAAAATCCTTTTAAACACTGGCTCCTGCAACAATTCAAAATGTCAAATCTATGCTTGCATGTTTCAGGAGATAACCACTGTTATTTGCACTATATAAGGAGTTACAAAAATAAAACACATACTTACAAAATATATCTAAATCAATTCACTACACACACGTTGGCATAAATATAACATTCATCTCTTGTCTCCTCCAGGACTTCTCCAGAGCTTCCCCCATCCTCTGGAACTCTCTACCCCAATTTCTCAGACTATCACTGTACTTTTGGTAAGCACAGGTACTTTTGAAAGTACAATCACCTACTCTGCTCACTTCTAGGTGATCTCTGAAAACCTATCTCTTCAGGGGTGCCTATCCTGCCCTCAGCTAATAATGGAATCTTCTACTCTTCCAACCAGTTCATCCCCCACAGTTACTACCTTTTGTACCACTAGCCCCTCCCTCCTAGATTGTAAGCTCCAAGGAGCAGGGCCCTCCTAACCCTCTTGTATTGAACTGTATTGTTGCTGTATTGTCTCCCGTTATATTGTAAAGTGCTGAGCAAACTGTTGGCGCTATATAAATCCTGAATAATAATAATATGCTATTATACCCTACTCGGCTATCATAAACTTTAATGTATACGAAATAAAGAAAGTTTTACCATATAAAATACATCAAGAAAGGTCACTTAGCAATCAACATGAGATATCCACAAGGACGGTAAATGCGATTGAAAAACGCTTTAGGAGATTCATATAAAACATGAACAGATAGACAGGCAGTAACTAGCCTGAACACAATGTACCCGCGTATCACACTAGAACAATGCTCTACAGTGTAAACCTTGTATAAACAAAAGATAACTGCTTTCCTGCTTGTCCATCTCTAGACAGACAGGTATACAGTATGTACATTTGGAATGCAGCATTGTCCTTCTTTTATCTTTATTTGCTCAGAATTAGAAAACACATATTTAGGGGAGGTTACAGTATCTTATTATGAACAATTATTTTTAAGAAAGAGGCAAAGTCAAATTACTCACCAAAATTTTAGTTGTATAATATACAGAAGTGATAGTTGCCCACAACCACCAGCCCAGGGAGCTGCATGCGGCCATTTGGCACTTACTGTGTGGCCCTGTTTGGTGCATTTCCAGGTCGGAATTATTACAATTTTGACAGTAACGCACATGCATATTAGCGTGAAATTTTGACTATTGTGATAATCATGATGTAACATACTGTATGTATGTGGGTTGGTTTTGATGTGATGGATTGATGTATCAGCCTCAATGTTTTTAGGATGATTCTTTTCATTCTAGTCTTAATAAAAAAAGTATTTAACCACTTCCCGACCGGCCGTTGTATATAAAACGGCCAGACGGTGGCAGTGCAGGGTTGGGTGGCCGTTTATAAACGGCCTCCCTGCACCCTGCTTGTGCGCGCTCCCTGGGAGCGTGCAGCACCGCGATCCGGTGCCCGCTGTGTCCTCCGGACACAGTGAAACACCGATCGTCGGAGGGACCTCTGTACGAGGTCCCCATCATGTGATCACTGATTGGCCAATCAGTGATCACATGCAAAGTAGTAAGCAAGATGTCACTTGTGACATCATTGCTTACTACGTGTGAAATCTGTGAATGATCACAGAGGTCACATGGTAAAAGGCTATTCACAACAGCCTTGTACCATGTGACAAGCTGTGACCAATCACAGCTCACTCACAGTACTTCTCAATGAGTGCAAGAATGCAGACAGAAAGAGAAATTATTACTTTTACATCCTATATGGGTGTAAAAGCAATCCGTGTAAAAAAAAAAAAAAAAAAAAAAAAATCTTCATCACCCCCCACAAGTAGTACAGTGTCACCATGGTATACTGCTGGGGTGACAGTATGTAAAAAATAAATAAAAATAAAAAATAATATTATAAAAAAATAAAAATGTAAAACAAAATGTTTAAAAATTATAATTTTTGGTTATAAACTAATTTGGATTTTTTTTTTTTACTAAAAAGATAAACGGAATAAATTTTGGCCAAGATTTATGATTTGCAAAATTTTATTAAAAAAACACTTTTTCAAAATTTTTGGACTTTTTCATTTACATAGCAAAAAAAAATAAAAATCCCAGCGGTGAATAAATTCCACCAAAATAAAGCTTTATCTGTCTCAAAAAAATGGTAAAAAATTTATTTGGGTACAGTGTTGCATGACCGGGCAATTGTCATTCAAAGTGTGATAGCGCTGAAAGCTGAAAATTGCCCTGGTCAGGAAGGGGGTAAAAGTGTCCGGACTGGAAGTGGAAGTCTGTGATTTTGGTGCCCTCAAAATCTCTATTCTGACTTTGTAATTTTTGGTTCAGATACACTTTAACAGTACACTTCGTTAGACTTGTGCGTACAGGCATTATTGGCTTAGAGCACCTACAGTTGTGTTCAAAATAATAGCAGTCAGACATCACTAACCTGATCAATCACTGTTTTTGGTGGAAATTATATTTCTACATGGCAAATAATTTACTAGCAGGTGTAGTAGAGTAATAGAAATCCAACAGACCCCACAGTCATGACATGCATGCTGCTGATTCTGTGTAATTGAATCACTAATTGAAAGGGCCATGTTCAAAATAATAGCAGTGTGGAGTTCTATTAGTGAGGTCATTCATTCTTTGAAAAACAGGTGGCAATTATTGCCCTTATTTAAGGAAGGAAGGCAGCAAATGTTGTACATGCTGGTTACAGTGCATTTCTCTCTGAAATTCTGAGGAAAATGGGTCGTTCCAGACATTGTTCAGAAGAACAGCGTACCTTGATTAAAAAGTTGATTGGAGAGGGGAAAACATATAAAGAAGTGCAGGAAAATGATAGGCTGCTCAGCTACAATGATCGCAAATGCTTTAAAATGGCAACCAAAACCTGAAAGACGTGGAAGAAAGCAAAAAACTACCATTCTAATGGATAGAAGAATAGCCAAAATGGCAAGGACTCAGCCAACAATGAGCTCCAGGAAGATCAAAGAAGGTCTAAAGTTATCTGTGAGTACTGTTACAATTAGAAGACGCCTATGTGAAGCCAAGCTATCTGCAAGAAGCCCCCGCA